AGTAAAGCAAACTAATTATTGGGAGAGGCAGCTTCAATCTTATAGCATAAGACAGTCTCAGTCAGCACGAAGAAACATCTTATTCAAAATTTACCCTCCATCATGCTATGCTTTCAGTGCCGAATATGGTCACTCACATGAAGTGAGAAATGACCTTTAGAATGAGATACAAAGCTGCAGGAATGATCAGACGAGATAAAATCAGGTCCTAAGAGAAAAAGTCGTAACAAGATCAAACTAAATAACATACAAAGACAGCAAACAGAATGGTTGTCCACTTACAGAGACTCAATTGAGACGGCCATAATATACTGATGATGTAAATAGGGGTCACTGCATCAAGCTAATGCAATAGTAATAATTCAAAATAAAATGCGACTAGAAAGCTCAACGGATGGAATAGAAAAGACAAGCAACTGAACGTTTTGGCTAAAGTCGTTATCCACAGAGAACTAAATACAATACACAATGTGACTGGAAAAGTGATTGTTTCATGGTTAAGAAAGGCTAAGTATAGTTTTTCTTTAAATTTCACTGATATTTTTGTCCAAGATCAAGAAAGCACCCTTAAGACAAGGACTGAGTGCCTCTGTAAATGTCCCGTGTCATGTGATATCAGTTCTTGATTCCGCTCAGCGCAAGGGAGAGAATTTGGTCATGCGCATTAATTGTATCGCTAGTAACAATGACAGAATGGTATCCCCTAAAATAAGTGTTTTGGTCTTAGAAAAACTGAAATGGGCTCTCCTCCGAATACGGTCTTAAATTATCGAGGTTAAAAACATACCCTAGCAGGGCCTCACTAGGTCATCTAGAAGAAATATTAAAAACTAAGCTTTTGTTTTCTTCCATACAACGCCTGCGTCTTTTAGTCACCTTGATTGACACATTAATTTTTTTAGTTATTTCCCAGAAAACTCTACATTGTTGATACTATCAGATCAATAAATTACTTCTATTGAACACATGCACTGACTGACTGACTTTCTACCCCACCAAGACATCACACAAGCGATAAACACCCGATATCACAATGTGCCACCATGTGGATGAGGATCACCGTGGAGAGGCATCCATAACCATTTTCTTGTTTGGGTGTTAGGATTATCGTTAATGGCCAGGACTAGGACTAACCCTAACACCGCCACGAGAATCTGTCAAAGCAGTCCAACCGCGAAACTAACGACATCGGACGTTTGCAACAAGAACAGGCGGTTAGTTCAACGTTAGTCTACCCAGACCCCGCCCGTATACACACTAGCTCACTTCTAATTGGTAGTTCCTAAGCCCCGTGTCCTTCACACAAGGTTACGGGATGTTCCACAATGCTGTTGATATCACGTGTAGTATATTTCAGCACGCCAGCGCTTTTAACACTCCAAAAACATGGCGAAACTAGGTATAACACAACTCCCCCTAGAGAGTGCTGCAACCTATGTCATAGGCATTCTCTTTCTTAGAGTGAAAACATAAAAGCAAGACACCGCAGAAACCAAACAACAGAGCGGGACACACCCCTAACGTTCAGTAAAGTCGACCAGCCCAACAAACTTGTAAATGAGAAGTGACCTACCCTATTTGGGGAGACTAATTTCGAATTAACCGAACAGTCTACCGTGTTTCATATTAACCGGTGTGTAGCAAGCCATTGGAGCCACTGTAGTATTTGCTGGAAATAAATCCAAATTGTACATATCATTTAATTCCTGCTAAGGTATGTTTTTAACCTCCATAATTTGGGGCCGTTTGTTGTGTGGAGGACTGCCCTAAAATCCAGTACTTCGAAAATAAAACCCAGGCACCAAAAGAAGACTACACCATAAAGCAACAGACTATAAGTAGAATGTCTACCAGTGGCGAAATTAAACACCGACATAAACAATTACATAGAAACTCAAAGCTTATGAGAGTTGGACCGAAACGCTCAGATATCGCAGCAACCCACAACACAACGTTCTATCAGCCATCTTCAGGCAAATGACGAGGATTACTCTTCTTTCACCGCAAAAAGTGGTATAAAAAAGGCAGTAATTTGCACTTTTTTATCGGCAGTACTGCATAATCAAGAAGCCTGTTTAATTCCATTGAAAGCAAAATTCAAAAGATAGTAAAATATATTGGGTGTATACTGTTACACTTTGCTGGCACTAGGTTAAAACTACAGATTCATTTTCTAGCCTTAAATGATGAAAACTTGTCAATTATGTGATCAAAGTCTGTTTTCTTTCTGTGCTGAGAAGAGCAAAATACAGAGTCTGTCTTGTCCATTAGATGCCCATGAATAATCAAGAATGCGTTTCATTTTACGCAGCTGGAAATGGAGACTGCAATGGTAAGCATTATTTGAATAGAAACACGAAGGTTAAGAAAGACACTCTCATCTCCATAGCGAACAATAAACTTCAGAAGTTCTTCAGGTATTACTACCGAATGTTTCAACCAGTGGTTTCTTCTGTCTGCATTATTGTCTTATCACCTCCCCACGGTCTGAGCTAGTGTGTTCCTTTCTATACTTTTGTTTTGTATATATACTTACTTCAGTTCAACAAGTGTGCTAGAAAACCATTCAATATGACGATGAACTGAGAATTGTGTTTGTTGATCAAGAAAAGGCGAGTAGATAGAAACAAACTATTGGCTATTCTTGAGAATTATGGCGTATAAGGACAATTGCTAGACAACATCAAGGCCATGTACCATACTTACCAAAGCGCAGTGAGAACACAAGAAGACATGTCTGATATGCTTACAGTCAATACAGGGGTGAGGCAGGGATGTGTGCTATCTCCTCTCTTACCTAATATATACAGAGAAAGGATATCAAAAGAAGCCAGTTTTGAAGAAGTCGACCCAGAAAATCCAGAAAATGAGGAACTTTACTTTCCAGAGAAAGAATTAGATCCACACTATAAATGAGCTACTATTTGCAGATGATCAATGCTTGTTCTACAATAAGGGGAGTAGACATCAAGAACATTTGAATAGGCTAAGTTCAACATGCAGAAGAAGATATCACATGAAAATAAATGCTACCAAAACTGAAGTAATGCAGGCCAGCGGAATTCCTAGTCCTCTACACATCGTTTTGAATGGTACCTGTCTGAGGCAAGTTAAAGAATTTAAATATCTAGGAAGCATATTCTCGGAGGATGGAAGAATATATCATGAAAAGATACCAAAAAAACCTGTGCACTTATATACCAAGTGACACCGTTATTAGGACATACAAACATAAATATGAGCACCAAGAAACAGATTATAAACAGCATAGTCATACCAACTATGTGCTACCAGTGCCAGACTTGGATATTATCAAAGACTAACCTACGTAAAATTAACACCTTTGAAATGAGATGCCCGAGAAAAGCAGCCAACTTAACCATCCGAGACAAGGTTATAAATGATACTATCAGACAGGCCGTAGGAACAACACCATGCATCAAATTCATTGAGAAACAGAATATCAAATGGTTTGGTCATTTAGTAAGAATACAGCTAGAACAACTACCACTGCAGAGTTTACACATGAAAGGATCTGAAGTGAAAGCTAGAGTTCGTCCTAGGAGAACATGGATTGATGACATTAAAGAGCTTCTACATCGACACGGAATGACAGTAGCCATTGCTGCCCATCAAGCAATGGATCGCAGATTGTTCCTCCCAACAAAGCTTCCTCCCGGTAACGCTTAACGACAGAAGTAGAAACTAATGAAACATGAAACAAACTCATAAGAATTCGAAATCACTTGATTACTCTTAACTGACTATTTGTCCTAATTCTTTACGCCGACTCAAAGTTCAACATCTTCTTGATTAACCTCCTGTCATATACGCAAGCTAGTCATTTCCTTTTCCTTATGACATCATGCCGTGGTTGTCCTCAGCTAAACTTAGCTACAGTTTCTATTTGCTCCGCACATCTCTGCTCTCCACGCTTCCATTTTTCTTAGTCTTTTTAAGATCAAAAAACTTGTAATTTCTCTAAACCTTTCCATTTCCTAAATAACATTGCGGTTATTGCAGAGCGTTTTCTTAGAAAAAAAAAAAAAAAAACATGTTAGGTATCTCAGTTACGTATGACGTTCTAGAAGCTTCAGTTTAAATCTAGTTTATGACCTTTGCTGAGATGTTCCTTGCCTTGTTTAGTTGAGTCACTTAAAGAATAATGCTTGTCAGGTGTGAGTGTTTATATTTGTGTAGGCTGGCGCCCTTGTAAATTACTTGCAGAAAATGAAACTCATTATAGATTAAGGAGGAGAAGCTACTACTGTAATTAAAGCTCCCTCCAAGCGGCGGCCAGGGCATCTGCCCAACCCGAGTTTCACCACTGCTACTTACCGACAATGCTTAGAATACCTTGGAAAGTCAAAAAGAGCAGCCAAGAGGTTTTGAAAGAGGCCAAAGACAACTTATCACAGACATCAGAAGGAGACAGTCATCATTTTTAGGCCATGTTATGAGAAGAGGGAAAATAGAACATGTTGTGACCACTGGAAAGATCTGTGGAAAAAGGGATAGAGGAAAACAACGAGAGAAGATGCTTGACAGTCTTGTTGCATGGCATGGAGGTGTGTCGGCACACGAACTGATACATGATGCAGGTGATCGCAGATTATGGAGAGGCCCACTGGCCCACGCCAGTCGGCAAGGCACCTGATGATGACTTACCGACACAGGCCTGCATTTTAGACCCGTCTAGTGTATTATTATAGGGTGCCATAATTATAATTTTTTGGGAGGTTGTTCTGCCGCCTAAAATGCGATTTTTCTTTGATCTCGGTGTGATAAACCCTCATGTAGCAGCGCTGAGTGGACAACCCAACCCAATCGATTGATCGATGGAACGTATATGGAGCACATACATTCTCGTAGTAATCATATCCCCGGAATATTTGTTTAGCTTTGTATTCGCACACAACGATACAAATGATTGCGATACATTGAGTATAAAGGCAGCATGAGATATCGAATCTCCACAGAGACAGACGTGAGCCGCAGACATGGCGGAGCAACTGAGACGACTGGTTGATCTCGGGACGTTTTCTGTCCTTCAGGACAAGTTAGACAGATGGCTGAGCGATTATTATGTGAGTGCCTGTTGATTTTAGTTAGAGTATGTGCAATTTATGAGCGAACCTGTTCTATCGCCAGTGAAACTATGTATTTTCTGAAATATTACCCGTTGCTATGGAAATCGCATAGCGTCGAGAGTCGTCTGCTGGGTCAATCACTAAACTCCGCCAGTGCTAACTTTAACACTGTCTTGTTGAGTTTGCGAAGCCCGCTTTTAAGACAGTATCAGTGTATAAATCTGATTTATGGAAACAGTTAAATAATATAATAGTCTCAGTTAATGTGTATCCAGTTAAACTACTTGCTTTGAAGTAATATTAGAGACAACAGTGGCCTGGCCGCGGAAACTACGACTAGTTCAGACATGGATGGTGGGCTACAAGACACTGTCCCTCAAGTAGAATAGTTTCAATACTTGATTTGTGGACATACATTTATGTGCAGTGATGCACAGCTGTCCAGAACATTCTGCCACTGTTTGCTTTCGTTCCTAATTAAAAAAAAAATTATTAGGCCTAATTTTACCTGTTTGTACATCATAATTTAAGTTTTTCTTTTTCTGTATTCTTTTTCTGTAATATGCAACCCCCCCCCCCCCCCCCCCCCCAAGCTTAGAAGTATGTAATTAAATGCTGTTTACTAAAAACCATATATGCCATGTTTTTTTCCGTAACATGTGTCATAAAAATATATTCAATTAAAAACAAAGTATGAGGCTTGTGCACTTAAAATATTGGAAAAAGTCATTAAAAAAATAAATCCAGTTCACGTTTCTGTGCCTACTATGAGCAAAGATAGTATTGTGTAAGACTAGTTCATATTGCTAAACCTGTCATTAAACTTGTCCGTTGGCTCGGCAATGTTAATCTGTCTGGATATTCTCTCTCAACAATCTTCTTGGTCTGCCTCATGGTCTGCGGCCATTTGACTCCCTTGCATGTATAGTTTTTGCCTCCCTTGCGTATATATAGTTTTTGCCTCCCTTGCGTATATAGTTTTTGCCTCAGCCATTTCAGTCTAATAGCCCCCATGATGCCAGTGATCAGGTGCACAGTTGATGATGATGAGGATGTTGAGCAGGGTTGGTCAGCTGAGGTGACCCTGGGGCCAGAATACTGAAAATAGGGATCATCACAGACCAGAGGCCCGAGCCCCAGCATAGATCATCACAGACCAGAGGCTCGAGCCCCAGCATAGATCATCACAGACCAGAGGCCCGAGCCCCAGCATAGATCATCACAGACCAGAGGCTCGAGCCCGAGCATAGATCATCACAGACCAGAGGCCCGAGCCCAAGCATAGATCATCACAGACCTGAGGCCCGAGCCCCAGCATAGATCATCACAGACCTGAGGCCCGAGCTCCAGCATAGATCATCACAGACCAGAGGCCAGAGCCCCAGCATAAATCATCACAGACCAGAGGCCCGAGCCCCAGCATAGATCATCACAGACCAGAGGCCTGAGCCCCAGCATAGATCTTCACAGACCAGAGGCCTGAGCCCCAGCATAGATCATCACAGACCAGAGGCCTGAGCCCCAGCATAGATCTTCACAGACCTGAGGCCTGAGCCCCAGCATAGATCATCACAGACCAGAGGCCTGAGCCCCAGCATAGAAAGATCATTATTACCACACAGCTGGAAATGATCCACAGGCCACTTGCTAGGCCTTTGTGGGCTGGCTTCGAGCTGTGGGCCTCGTTAAATGGACCTGATATAGACCTTAGCTGCTAGGTCCTTTAATAGTTGAACTTTGCCCATATAGTGGTCAGGGCTCTATCATACAGTGTAGTTTACCTGCTGACCCAGTGGCCATTTGTTTTTCTTTTTTATATATTAAGAAAGTATAGGTATTTTAAAAGTTTACCTGCTTTCCCTGATTTTGCTCGGGTCAAGCCAGCGTAAAATGGAGAATACTTTGGGAAGTAAAGGAAGCTGGCTTAATATTGCTCACAGCCACTTTAATGTTAATTGGTCTATAAAAAAAATAAGCTGGCACCATATACCGAATATACCTCATATATATAGGAAAGGTGTAGCAAAGGGTCCCTTGCATTCAGGTATTGTAATGTGGTCTACTGGACAATTCTTCGTTGGGGATGGTTAAGTTATTCCTGCCAACCTTCTTTGGTGTTAACTCAGCCTAAAACTGTGGGAGTCCGAGTTTTGATAAAGGTGGCAAGCTTAGCACTTTGAATACCAACAGCTCATTATGTATTCTTTGGTTATTCCATAGATAAAGCTGGGGGGTGGGGTGGGGGGGGGGGGGGGGGGTTGGTAGATTGGTGGGTAACTTTGTTGATAATGTTCCCACAGACAGTCTTCCAGATTGATTAAAAGATAGTTTTGGTAAACATACCAGAAGGGAGAGTCACATTTGTGCAGAAGACTCCTGGTGGCTAAGATAGGAGTCATCATTATAACCAGTTTCTCAAGGAGAAAGATCAGTAGAGGTACCTTGGAGTGGTTGCAGCATTGGAGGACTGAGCATGTGCCTAGTGTGCAGTTATGTCGATTGTGATAACATTCTTCTTCTTCTGCATTCTATCCTCAAATGGGGCATTAGCCCTCACCCAGCTAATGCCATGTTATATTGTGATAACATAACAGAATTTCGGCTGTCAATATAAAGGGTTTGAATCCATGTGTGGCAGATTTTCAAAAGTGTACTAGAGCTGCCAGGTCTATACAGTCTAAAATGTGGACCTGGCAATGACATCAGAAGTAAAGGTGGCCTGCATGATAACCACATCAATCACCATTGTTCTATAAAAAAAATATTAGGCTAGCACAATAAACCTGATGCAGCAGTGGTGTATGTAGGTTTTTTTTTCTACTGATACTTTAACTGAGAAAGTAAAAGATCCTTTTTCACACCATAAGACACATCAGGAGGCAAATGTTGCACGACTCATGTTTGTAGAGACCAGTCAGGAACTGATGGGTGATGTGGTCAGCAACTGATGAGTGATGTGGTCAGCAACTGATGGGTAATGTGGTCAGCAGCTGATGGGTGATGTGGTCAGCAAATGATAGGGGATGTGGTCAGCAACTGATGGATGATGTGGTCAGCAACTGATGGGTGATGTGGTCAGCAACTGATAAGTGATGTGGTCAGCAGCTGATGGGTGATGTGGTCAGCAACTGATGGGGGATGTGGTCAGCAACTGATGGGTGATGTGGTCAGCAACTGATGGGTGATGTGGTCAGCAACTGATAAAGGATGTGGTCAGCAACTGATGGGGGATGTGGTCAGCAACTGATGGGGGAATGTGGTCAGCAACTGATGGGGGATGTGGTCACAACTGATGGGTGATGTGGTCAGCAACTGATGGGTGATGTGGTCAGCAACTGATGGGTGATGTGGTCAGCAACTGATGGGTGATGTGGTCAGCAACTGATGGGTGATGTGGTCAGCAATTGATAAGTGATGTGGTCAGCAATTGATGGTGGATGTGGTCAACAATTGATGAGTGATGTGGTCAGCAACTGATGGGGGATGTGGTCAGCAACAGATGGGTGATGTAGTCAGCAACTGATGGGGGATGTGGTCAGCAACTGATGGGTGATGTGGTCAGCAATTGATGAGTGATGTGGTCAGCAACTGATGGGTGATGTGGTCAGCAACTGATGAGTGATGTGGTCAGCAACTAATGAGTGATGTGGTCAGCAATTGATGAGTGATGTGGTCAGCAACTGATGGGTGATGTAGTCAGCAACTGATGGGTGATGTGGTCAGCAACTGATGGGTGATGTAGTCAGCAACTTATGGGGGATGTGGTCAGCAACTGATGGGGGATGTGGTCAGCAACTGATGGGGGATGTGGTCAGCAATTGATGAGTGATGTGGTCAGCAACTGATGGGTGATGTGGTCAGCAACTGATGGGGGATGTGGTCAGCAACTGATGGGTGATGTGGTCAGCAATTGATGAGTGATGTGGTCAGCAACTGATGGGTGATGTGGTCAGCAACTGATAGGTGATGTGGTCAGCAATTGATGAGTGATGTGGTCAGCAACTGATGGGTGATGTAGTCAGCAACTGATGGGTGATGTGGTCAGCAACTGATGGGTGATGTGGTCAGCAATGGATGAGGGATGTGGTCAGCAACTGATGGGTGATGTGGTCAGCAACTGATGGGGGATGTGGTCAGCAATTGATGAGTGATGTGGTCAGCAACTGATGGGTGATGTGGTCAGCAACTGATGGGTGATGTAGTCAGCAACTGATGGGGGATGTGGTCAGCAACTGATGGGTGATGTAGTCAGCAACTGATGGGGGATGTGGTCAGCAACTTATGGGGGATGTGGTCAGCAATTGATGAGTGATGTGGTCAGCAATTGATGAGTGATGTGGTCAGCAACTGATGGGGGATGTGGTCAGCAATTGATGAGTGATGTGGTCAGCAACTGATGGGGGATGTGGTCAGCGACTGATGGGTGATGTGGTCAGCAACTGATGGGGGATGTGGGCAGCAACTGATGGGTGATGTGGTCAGCAATTGATGTGGTCAGCAACTGATCGGTGATGTGGTCAGCAATTGATGAGTGATGTGGTCAGCAACTGATGGGGTATGTGGTCAGCAATTGATGAGTGATGTGGTCAGCAACTGATTGGTGATGTGGTCAGCAACTGATGGGTGATGTGGTCAGCAACTGATGGGTGATGTGGTCAGCAACTGATGGGTGATGTGGTCAGCAATTGATGAGTGATGTGGTCAGCAAATGATGGGGAATGTGGTCATTATCATGTGAGGGCAACTAGCCTTTTCAGATAAAGGTGAGAAATCAAGGATTTGGGCAGCCGGTTGCACACGTTAAAAATTCTTCTGCAGCTGAAAGTCAGAAAGAGCAATCTTGTTCTTTATAGGCCACTACCCAAGCTAAATTTTAAAATCAGAAGACCAAAACTTAAAAAGAATATCACTGTGCAATTTGTCTAATTTACAGTAGACTTCAAAATGTTTTATAACTGGTACATTTCATGTACATTCCATGTTTGCTTCTATTCACA